CATCCCCGCAAAATTTTAAATAAATAATTGGCACATAAGCAATTTTGTGCGGTTAATTTCTGTATTAAAATAAATCGCTAATTATCACAATATTGAACAAAAAAGTACCTTCAGCCTTCTTGGATCTCAAAAAAAGGTGAACTTCTAAAGTGCCTCAAAAATCATAGTACATTTTTAACGAAAAAAGTTTAACAATTATTTAAAAAATAACTTCTCCGTTATGCGGTTCATTAACAAACTAAACAGTCGTCCCCTTGGTCGACTTCATTTATGTGCGGGATTGATCCCGCAAAAATGCTGCGGGAGCCAGGGATTTCGGGATCCCGCGATCCCGGTATTGCATGCCCTAAACACCACCTAAAACAAATCGATCAGTAAAGCTAAAAGTACTCACATTTTCAAAATTTTAAAATTAACATCAGTATAATCCCTTGACGAGGAATCACCCACAAATTTTAAACTTGATTACTATAATTGAAGAAAAGAAAAGTTAACATAACGACCCATTGACCCAGTTTCTTTATATCCGCTACATGCGCTGTGTGGTGTAGGTTATCTCAGTACAAAGGCGTTGTCCTTGTACTTGTTAAAAATTTAATTCCTTTTTACAGTTTCTACAGTTTCCTTTCGGGGCGATAAGTGATAAACGTTGCTCAAGACGACTTCCATTGGCAACGTCGACGAAAGCATAACATTCCATTTTTTAAGGAGCTTGCGATTTTTCTTCATCCCCAGCGTTTTTTGTAAACAGCATGCGTTTTTGTATTAGCCAACTAGCGTCTTGGTTATGGTACCACTCAGAGTAAATTAGAAAATTTCCATAAAGAAGATATCCAGCCGACATCGACAAAAATAGTGCAGATATCCCGGAATTCAAAACCACTACGTAAAAATCTTCCCGAAAGTCGATTTTCAGAGATTAAACTTACGTGCATGTAAAATTCCATCCACCTGGAGGACAACGGTTTGCTACAGTTGCAGCAATTAAATAGTTATTTACATAAAAGTCCGGAAAATGACACATTACACTGGTGAGGAAATATTGACGTGCGATGCTCCTTTGTTGTAAATAGGTAAATAAAGCACGTAATTAAATTTACGTTACAATATACAACCAATTAAGAATTTAGGAAAATTAAAAGTGTTACACGTCTTTCTTATTAAACAAGTCAACATTGCAAGCAATTTTAACTTCAAATAAATTGTCGCTGAAGATATACGAGCAGCGCACTCCATTCTAACACTGTTGGTGGTTTCCTCATATATTACTATTTACCAGTTATCTTTTATCTGGTCAAATCTCCATACAGCATTGTACACGAATTTTGAAAAATAGCTAAGGTACCCTCACTACGCAAAAAATTTAATCCCTTGGTCTGCTTGACCTGCGTTCAATCAGTGTCTTGCGAGGTGTCTTGCCAGTATGTATGTAAAGTTTTTGAAAAGTCATTGTACAGCCTACAGGAAAATTGTTCAGTATTCTCCCCGAGTTATAATAAGTGTTTAGTACAAACTATATAGTTGTGAAACAGCGCTGATTTGCAAAATTACATCTTGATACTACTTTTCGCGGGCGTCCGTCATCATCAGACATTCCACTCTGTTATTAATTCTTCATTATGTAGTTCAATGATACAGCGTTGGGCTATAAAGCCGGAGGTCGGGTCTTCGAATCTGGGCTGAGGTAATAATTTTGTATTTTCCTTAGACCAGTTTCGAGCATTCTGCCGGCTATTCCGAATTAGGTTTTCCTGCAGTTTTCTTAGTTCGTACGGTATCTACCGGAGTAGTGTAACAACTTAAGACCTTCTGCAGAGACACCTCTAAAAAGCATTACCTATGCGGGTCACTGTAATTGGACGCAAGTCTTTTTAGGGCCCAGAACAAGAGAGGGATAATAAATAAATAAATTATATTGACTTAGGAGCACTATTACCAATTATTACTTATTCAATGGTGTTAGGTACTTATTTCTAAGTTTCTAAAGGGGAGATATCAGTTAGCTAGTGTCACATGGTGTTAGCTCTTTAGATTGCAATGAAGAGATGTGCGGCGTTTCACAAAGTTCAATTTTGGTCCGATCCTGTTTATTACATACCTACGTCTTGTAATGTGCTTAAATTCAATTTAAATTAAACATCAATATGTAGGTAATCTACATTTTATTCAACTCTATACAGTAAATAAAATTCTATATAGACAAAAAACTGTGTTCCTGCTGCCTACTATTCCGGACAGCACTTGGCTCCAGATTTCTCGCTAAAAAAGAAACAAACTGTATTTTTATGCGGATAATGTAAATGATATTGTACATATGTACAAGATTTATAATTAATGTCCGGACTAATTCTATAAGACATTATATAATAGCAAAAAATAGTACTTACGCCTTAGCTACGACAAGAATCAAACCCACGAATTTCATTTTTAAGCTGTAGTATTGCGAATGCTCTACTTGATAATAATATCGTCGAATGTCCATTCTTTTATACTAATGCTTAGTCTTTCCCCCTCTGCCGAATAAATTTTATGAATATCAAATAACCTCAAGTAGTGAGATTATTTCGAAAATAGACATTTATCGTCAACTTACGCGCAAAACCGAAAACACTCAGTAATAATTTTCTCTGTTTTGCGTTTATAATGACAGTATTCCGATTTCAAAAATAGTGCTGGAATGAGTTTCATTCCAACACTATTTTTGGTAACTATTTTCCACAACTGACAGATTTTTAAAAACATTTGGTATTCAGTGGTTGGCATGCTCGTCTAAATCATCCAGGCTGATCATATACGCGAATGTTCAATTCAAAGTTCTGCCTGGATGATTTAGACGTTAATACTTATCTCAACGGTTTAGTAAAATGTGGACTAATTTCACTTATTGTTAGAACATTACACATTATTCACTTTTTATTGAAAAAACTAAAATAGTATAATTCGTGTTTGACGCGCTTGTTAAATTGAATTTTTTCAAAATGTAGCGTAGCCAACTTAATTTCTTTATTGAAAAATTGTTGGTGTTGCCAACTTAATTTCTTTATTGAAATATTTTTACAGAAAATGTCAGAATTGTTAATTTTTTTAATACAATTAAAATGCTCAACAGAGAAAATAGTATAAAGCATATGTTGCAGAAGGCCTTTCTAGCACTCGTTCATTGAAACTTGAACTCGTGCTAGAATATAGCGCCTTCTGCAACTTATGCTTTAATATACTATTATTACTATTAATAATTATCTATCTGAAAAACAAAATATGAATTGTTTTGGCTTTTATTACACATTTATCAGGAAGTTCAGTCCAGAAATCTGTTAAAGATTGCGTATTAAAATTCATTTATGGGTGGTGCTTGTCAAAATCTCTATTAGTTGTTCTTCCAGTGGCAGATTTTCTGGTTTCCCGTCAAACAGAACACGAGTCAAATTCCGATAGTATAAATTGGTATCTCGTTGTGGAGAAAATGGTCGCCGGAAACCGATACTCAAATTTTCTATAAGTATCATAGCATTTTATTTTACTATACATGACTTGGTTAGGCCTAGAATAATTCTTTCTTTTTATCACAAATTAACCTTGTATACAAATTCAGCAGCATTTCAATATGTTATTTACGGCTTCCGTCCCATTTAAACCTAAGTTGGGTTTAAAGGAAAAGCGCTGACTAATTTCTATACTCGTATATACCTATAAGTTGTCAGAATTTAGTTAATTTATGTATAACGTATGTGACCATGCAAAACGGCTGCCTTGTCGACCATATGGACGCAATAAAGGAGTTTTTCATAGTATGTTACGTAGTTAGCCTTGAGCAGTTAGGTACATTTTGAGTCTTATCAAAATCAGTCGTCAACAAAATACTTGTAACTTATCTACTCAAAGTAATCGATTTATATAATGTGAACAATAAATCATTACGTGTAATCGTATTCAATAAAATTATTCGTTGGTTGCGAAACAACCTGGTCCTTTATTCGAAGAGTCGGAGATCAATCTAACATCTCAAACATTGACCCATTCGAGCAACGAGATGATCTACAGAACTTATCGATAACTTTTCAACAACAATCAAGCTGCAATTCAGCTGAGGAAACTTCTGGACATTCGTCGCCCCAGAGTAAAGATAAGCTTTCTTTATTCCTAAGTCTAGCTAGTTGTAGTGTACAAACCTTTCAACTTATTCAACTGCTCGAGTCGTTAGGTTCCTTAAGCTCTAATCAAATCAGTCGGCACCAAATTCTGTAAACGTGGATTGAAACGTCGACAAACAGTTAAACAAACACAAGGCCACAGGGTCCGCGGTGTATAAACGATACATACTAACAAAATTTCTTGTAGCATATGTAAGAGCGAGCATTATACAAACAAGTTTAAATAGTTATTTATGTATCAAGGGCATTAAGGCGATATTTATGCCGAGGGCGACAGAGCCCGAGGGCCTCCGGCCCGAGGGATTGTAAGTCGCCCGAGGGTTAAATATCGAGTAATGCCTGAGGTACATACAACATTTTATTTTTCATCGTTCCAAATAATGCATTTCCAATATACAAATGTAATGATTGTTGTTAGTGCTTCATACAAATCAAGTAGCATCTTTTTTTTTATTACATAACTCCATCAATATATTTGACAGGCAGTTTGAGGGCATAATGGATTGTCATCTCATTATGCCCTCTCATTATGTCCTCGGGCGTCATAGACTGCTTTATATATCTCATATGACAGATATAATTGTCATATAATAGGCAAATGAAAAATAAAAGTCATTATGCAAACATAAAGACGAGAGCGTATTTTCCTCCTAATAATATTATTGCTAGGACCAGGGAAAAATACCGGTAGGCACGAGATCCTTACCCCATTCTCTTTCAAATGAGCCGCCTATCGTCGAAATCTATACAGTTTAATGAAAAGTAGCGGAGCGTATACAAATACAAACAAATTTTGAAATGGGCATTAGTTTTTACTTTTATTCGAAGTGTCTACATATATGAAACATTTTTTAATGATTTCGTAAATAATAGGTATTGCGCATCATTTACGTTAGAAATTTCGTTAATTTTGAAACCGGTATTAGTTTTAGCACAGATTTACACATACATATAGGTACCCCTACATAAACTGTGCAGTGTTTTAGATCGCCGAATTCCCTTAAAAATCCTCTGTAATCAATATAAATCCGAACCCGGTTAGAAACGAGCTGTAGTCACAAACAATTAAAGTTACTATAGGAAACTCACCTCTAAAATTTGATCATTAACTAACGTGAACCAATACTAAAAGTAGGGTTAAACCATTTCTAATCTTTATAATGTCCAAATAACCACCATTTCTTAAGTATCTATCTTGGGATTGTGTCATATTTTGTAAGTATGCGATTGACAGAAGGATATCTACCTATAGAATGAAAGATTCCCTGATTTTTTAGTACCTATGTTGTTTGGACCCACTAAGGTAGTGTATACTCAAGTTTGCAACCCTCTGAGTTGTGCAAAAAGCGTAGCACACAAAAACAACGAAATTTTCGGACTTGGTTCAGATTTTGCTCTATATCTCCTAAACTGTGCATTTCATACGTTTTTGACGAGCATTAAATGTATGACAATTTGGGCATTTTTCCGGAAATTACCAATTCACTTTGTTGTTGCATATGAAGTGAGTTTTAAACAATTCCATAGATTTAAATTAGGGCAGCAATCCAAGTTAAATTGTAGGTAGGTATCAATGTTATTAGTTGACGAGCTAATGTGAGCAGAAATAGTAGTAAAGTGACCTTGAGGATTGTAGCGGTTCTTAATTGTGCGTAATCCCGTTGGGTCGGAAGGTGTTCTCGTCTACTCCCTTTCTCGTTCCCTCCTTTTATCCATTTCTAGTCTTAAGGGGAGCGCGACCAGGCCCATTATGCCTATCCCCTTTCTTTTGCAACGCCCGCTCCTCTCAATTAAGGATATGACCCTGTTTAGCTAAGATCACCCTCCCCGGTTTCAGATAACTGTTGCCAATGATCTGAAGCCTGTCTCCGATCAAGGTGTCACCGTGACAGTAGTTTCATCTGCCCCGCCACAGAACGTGGGGTCGTCAGCCCAATGTTGTGCATGTGGTAGTTGGCCATCCAGTGCCCCGTGAGAATACCGGTCATCTGTGTAATCAGGCTTCTATTCAGTTTTAAAAAATTTACCAAGGGGCCCTGGACTGTGACCAGTTGCTTGTTACCACGGAGCCTGGAATTGACTAGTCGCACCGTCTTTAATCCTGGTACTGACAACAGGGGGAGCAATTCCTAGGGTAGGCTCCGGTCCGACAAAGACCCCACTACTGACTTCGCGAGACAGCGGCCTTTCTTTATGCACTATTCCGTAGGGCGCTGGCACACAGATCAAGCTTACTTTATTTATCTACATTTATATCTACAGTTCGCCTGCAATCAAGCGCCGTAGCCGATCGAAACGTGTTTGCTGACAGGACCCTCAGCGCCACCTGACTGTCAATGTATATGCATATATGCTTATTGCGGTAACCTCTACAGAGGTTCTCCTCTGCACAGCTGATGGTTGCATCTCTGACTGAAACATGATGCTACGCTGACCAAGGGACAAACTGCTGTCAGCTCTCGGTGGAGCGCCACGTATTTATCCATTTCCGTTAGGGACCCGTCGGGCGTGTATAAACCACGCTAGCCCCTCAGGTTTGCGCTACGCGTGATCTGAATTCAGCACTACATTTATTCATAGCTAATATTTCTTAACAAATTGTTACTTCTTCAGAGCCATAAAATTTGCTGCAAGTCAAACAATTATAAAGAGAAAGAAATCAAAGTGGATAACCACAGAACTTACAGTTGTACTTAGAACTACCCAAAACATACATGAAATAGGGGAATTTATATAAAACGAGTAAATCAAGCGTAGGTAATGCAAGAACAGCAATTGCATCCTAGAAGGGCGATCGGACTCACTCAGCCCCAGTTGCACCAACAAAATTAAGCCTTGCTTAAAGTTAAGTCGAACTTAAAATCTCTGGCAACGATTATTAAGACAATCGTTGCTATGGTATTTAAGTTATGCTTAACTTTAAGGGATACTTAATTTTGACGGTGCAGTTGGCCCTCACTCCTGAATTCATGTTTGGGAAAAACTACCACATCTTTCTTAATGAGGATGTGGCATCCCAACCAGACATATTCATCATCACGGATGAATCTAAAGAACTGAATTTCCGTATCACCCAACCAACTTCCTACTGTATTCCAATCAGAGTTGGTAGGACCAACGTTCAGTGCCAGGAAAGTTCTTATGCATAACATAAAGAACAAAACTATCAAAATTTCCAGTGACAGCAGGGCTGCTCTGCAGACACTTGGCTGTGAAATTACCTATAGGTCGATTTCCGAATGTCACCATGCACTAGAACAAGTATCAAGCAGCAACACCAGTGAGCTCGCAAAGGGCATGCTGGAATTGAAGGTAATGAGAAAGCCGATTAATTAGCCCGACTGGCCTCAAAACAGGTGCTTTATAGTCCAGATCCGGCTCTTCCACTTACAGCTGCAACTGTGAACAACCAGTGCAGGGCTAGGTAGTACATGATGTTAGATTGTTGCCATGCGAGAGCAGCCTTCAAAGGACCATCTCGTAACCTGGTGCGTTTTTGCACAGGGCAACAAGAAAGAACCTGAGGTTACTCGTGGCAATACCTTCTGGGCACTACAAACTA